AACCGTTGTCAGATCCCAGCCTATTCTGCTATTTTTGTCTGTCATAATCTCTGTGGACTACGTCATTGACGCGTCATTGAATTTGACTACAACGTTGTATCACACTGATAGTATTGATTTCAGTGTCACTGTGTGTAGGTCGGATCTCTATATGTACAAAGAGCTATAATTGTTATTGGTTACATTGTGACCCATACATTGTGCCACAGGCCAATATATTTTTATTATTTGAAATAAGATTCATATTGATCTCTGTATCATCTGAGATTTTCTACTTTTTTATGATAATTAGCTACTTCTATAAAATCAGACAATGTATCATGGTGACAGGACCGAACGATGATCTCACTTCCCCTGTGGTAGCCGAATACAGACAGGTTTGCGAACATACTGTTTCTTTTAGGTACTTAACGGATGACAAAGGTCGAAAGGAATAGAAGAGGCAGAATGGAAATGGGAATGGAAGTAGGGCTTGAATTCGTGCCTGAATTACACATGATGGGTCATGATGCTTGCATCACCAAGTCCAAAGTCAAAGACGATATGAACAAAAATAAAGAATGTATTGTTTGGTAAACCATTGTCCGTTTGTAGAGTCATTTGTTCAACGTGCCCGATAACTTATTTCATAATTTCATAATTTCATAATTAAGGCAACTTTTTGCCCAAGTTTTTTTTCGCACGCTCGCATCAGTTTCGGGGTGCCCAGGGGATGTCATCCCGATTCCGTGTGATCAGATCAGTATCATGTGGCCTTGAAATAGGTCTAGACAACGAACACCGTTTGATAAATCATGTGTATGAATTGATTGCTAAAAAGAAGGAAAGCAAGATAAAAGGGCAAGGGTAAAGTTAATACACTTATACAACATACATTTGTTCTGTACTCCAAAGGAAACTTGATATTGGCCTCGGACTAGTATATATGAATTATGATACATGAAACTTGAAAGGCTAGGTGGCATGTCTGTTAGGTTACGGTTCAAAGTCAGGCTCGCATTATCCCGTCGGTTTGTCTGATTTTTGACATCTCCATTTGACAGCTCCATTTCGACAAGAAAATAAAACGACATGACAACTGACAGCAAGTACTCGTCCAAACACACACATATGCTTTGAGACCGTCGGAATGCAGGGGTAGACTCCCACTGCCCTGTAAATGGTACTATCCCGAGTTGCTTTGCGCGCAGGGAGGGTAAGATAGCACGCACCCCCCATCTGGTGTCACTCTGTGGTCGCGGGTAGGATAAAGGGGACCGAACCATTGCGCATCCCGGGGAATCGGTAGGGGAGACGCATGTCAAGTTTAAAAAAAAAAATCCCCGCGCAACGACCCAGTCATTTTGCCTCTGTTTGGGCGCTATTGGCCTTTCGCGGCCCCAGTACAACTCTCATATCTTAACCCGAGCAGAGAGCAAAGTGACGAGGGATTTGGTACTGTCCAATGAATAGTTTTCCCATGATGCTTTGACCAAAACACTCTGACGTAATCATCATGGCGGCCACAGACTCAAACTCTGACAGTTCCTCTTCCAGCAACGTTTTAGTCGACAAGCAACAGCTCGAGGCTGGCTCCTCCTCAGACAGTTCCGACGACCTCTCCGCCCCTGTACAGAAGTGCCCATTATGTTGTAGCAGAACTAAGCGGTTTACTTGTAAATCGTGTGTGAATGACGGTAATTTTAGCAGGCCCGACTGTTCCGACTCACCAGCTAGGTAGGTTCGCTTTCTGTTGGGTACTTTCAAGTAGCTGCTCGATTTGTTAAAAGCAGACTTAAGATGCGCTACTTCACAAACCGATAATCCTTTGCAAATGTAAAACGACTGACAGCTTCCATCAAAATTATCAGTTAGTCACGTTTACGTTATACCCCCGAAAGTGGAATCGTCCCGAATGTCTTGTCTTTTGTTCATATACTAAGTAATTTTGATCCCATTATATTTATCAGAAGTTGTGCCGCAGTCCTTCAGATATGGTTATGTTGCCAAATTACACGGAACCTCTATACTTTCCCAGAGGCAAAGGGGCCTATGACTTTCGTATACCTTTGAACTATTATGGTATAAATGCAGCATCAGTGCTGCACAATATTTATCATAAATTATAATCAATTTCATCATATGCTACATTTTTGTAGGGTAACCCCCCATAGGGGTTATATCTGGATGTTGGGCAGGTACATGCAGGAGGGATAAGGTTGCAGAGGATTTACTCAGGGAAATAGTAACACGATATGATAAA